CAAACTCAAACTCAAAAAAAAAAAAAAAAAAAAAAATCCGAATGAGTAATAAAACCACAGAGTATAATTTTAGGAAGGTATAAAACATACACCATGAAAAATAGTAGTTCACTTTTCTGCTCATGTGTCCTGTCAGCTCTAATTCACCACCCTCAGTCTTAAACCTGGCCACTTTATTACCAGACTTTGGATGTCAGAAAGTTACAAATGCCAACTTAATGAATTTTGCTTAGCAACATAATGAAATATGGACTATATAGTAATTATTGTCATTTTCTTAAAGATGGTATTTCTAAGCCGGGCTCGGTGGCTCAGCCTGTAATCCCGCGCTTTGGGAGGCTGAGGTGAGTGGATTGCCTGAGCCCGCAGGTTCGAGACCCGCCTGGGCAAATAAGACCTCATCTCTATAATAAATCAAAAATCATCCGGACATGGTAGCACGCGCCTGTAATTCTGGCTACTGGTTTGATGTTTGTTTCAGATCCTTTCTTTCTTTCTTTTTTGGAGTCAGAGTCTCACTCTGTAGTCCAGACTGGAGTTCAATGGCCACCGCGGCCTCCACCTGCTGGACTTAGGTGACCCTTCCACCTCACCCTTCCAAGTAGCTAGAACTATAGGCATGCGCTACCATGCCCAGCTAATTTTTTGATTTATTGTAGAGACGAGGTCTCACCAAGTTGCCCGGACTTGTCTTGAACCCCTGGACTCAGGCAATCCTCTTTCCTCGGCCTCCCAAAGTGCTGGGATTACAGGCTTGAGCTACCGCACCCAGCCCAGATTGTTTCTTTAAAGAAACAAATCAATTACTTCCATTTTCTTCCCCTGTTCTTTTTGCATCCTCACATCTTCGGAAGCAAGCAATATATTTGAAGTTGGTGTGCATCTTTCCTAGAGTGCATTTTCATACTTTTACTACATTTGCATGTATCTTTAAATAATGTACAATAATGGTTTGTGTGATAAAAATTTGCATAAGTGTGTATGACAGCATTTTTTTACATTGTCCTTTTTAATTTATATTTTCAAGATCATTTGATACATGTAAATATAACTCATTCATTTTTTTTTTTTTTTTTTGAATTGGAGTCTCACTCTGTTGCCCAGACT